CGAACCGCCCGCGGCGAGGGCAATACTTTAGATTTGCCGGGCGGCACGGACGCTTAATCCCCGGGTGTACATATTGTATGTATCGGCGTGCGCCAGCTTGTACCGTCACAGTTCAAACAAGAGATAGTGTGCATGTGCGCATCCGCTCGGATCGACTGTCTCGACCCCGGGCACGCTCGATCGCGCTCGCGCGGCGTGTCCCCGGCGGCGATCTCGGCACTTCACTCTGTCGGCTCTTGCCGTCGCCTCTTCTTTGTTCGAATGTTTTTTCAATATCCATCCTTCACGAAGCCTCTTCGCATGTGTAGCTTGCGTTCCGCTTTGCGAATGTCTCGAAAGGCATGACACCAGGAGGGGGTCGCCAGACGACGCAGGGCAGAAGACGGTGAGGCGGAGCAGACGCGCAGGGCGAGACGAGGGAGGGAGCAGGACTTTGCGGAGATCAGCAGGAGGATGTACGAAGAGATTAGGAGCAGCAGGGACCCGAGGGACCATGTGGAAGACGGCTAGTGCTCTCGCCCTCGTTTCGTCCTCCCGTCCCTCCCCTCCACCATGGCCTTCTCGGCACTTCTTTCTCCATCCGCCTTGCCCTGACTTTTTGTATCGCGCCTTCGCCCTCCATTCGGTGACCTCCCATGGCTGTCCGCCATGGGTGGCGCTCTCGACAGACGATACGGTTGCGTCAACCTCGACGTCGCTGTCGTCCTCCCCGACTCTCCCCGTCCCTGCCGTCCGTCCGGGCCTCGGTTCGCGTCATCGGTATCGTCTCCGTTGCTCCCTGCCTCGTGCCCCGCCGTCGCCCTCTCTGCTCGGGTCGTTCGCAATTTCGCCCCTCCTGCGTGTCGCGCGCCCCTCCGTCTCCTCCCCCCTTCTTCGTCGCTGTCGCGAAAGCCCTCCGGCCCCTCGGTTCCCTCGCCTATCCCCTCCGCTGGCGCTGCATCGTCCCAGTCTATATCCTCGTCATCCTCTGTGCACGTCGCCCTCCCGTCTCCATCGTTGTCGCCTCCGTCGACTGCGGCCCTGCGGCACTGCCTCTTCCCTCGCCTCCGCCTTCCTCGTCTCGCCTGCCATCGTCCCGAGCCGTGTCTCCTCGTCCTCGCTATCGCCTTGGCCGTTGTCTGACATGTTCACATGTGCACATGTGCATGCACATGTGCATGCACATGCACATGTGCTTGTTCATCGTGTGTGCGAACATTGTCTTGCTCGTAGGAGCCGTTCGTCCTTTGTCCGAGCAAACGCGCGCCCGATCACCCCGTTGAGCACGTGGAATTCTTTTGCACACGGCCATCGCAGAGAGCAGATTGTGAATGAGCTTGCCTGCGGCGAGGGCGGTCGAGTGCACGGAGCTAAGTGCCTCGCGCCGTCCTCGCAGGAGTCCTGGAGTCGCTTAAGGCGGCTCCCGTGGTGTACCTGTGTTAGTGCCAGTGTGTGTGTGCGCGCGCCAGTCCAGTGCCCAAAGAAAGAAAACTGACACGCCAAGGAGGGATGCGGATGGGAGGACGGCACGCCGCCACCACACAGCTCACAGGGATTTTAAGGAGAGGGGTGTGATGCGCTAGCCGTCGCCCACCCTTGGGCGTCCGCCTCTTCCTATCTCTCTTCGCAGTCTCTCGCCGATTCTCGCTGCAACCTTCATGCCACCTCGCGGTCGTCCCACTCTCATCGTTCTCTCTCTGTCCAGTGCCCAGAAAGAAAGAAAGAAAACGGACAACCCAAGGGAGGGATGGGAGGACGATGTCCAGTGTCGTGCGAGCAACTTTAGCCCTTGTAAAATTCTTTTGCGTGCGCGCCAGTCCCGTGCCTAGTGATCTACTAGTGTCGTGCGAGGGAGTTTTGTTGTAAAATTCTTTTGCCGCAAACAACCCACTGGGCCCGGGCTCCTAGCCGGATAGGGGGTCTGTCCACACTGGCTGGCCCCTCCCAGACAGACAGATAGGTAGGTAGGTAGGTAGGTTGGTCTTGTTTCGCCCAAAAGGGCCCTGCAATAGGTAGGTACCCCCTCTTTTCATCTTTTTTCGCTTCGCTGCGCGGCCTGGGGATAGGTAGGTAGGTAGGTAGGGCGCGTTTTGGCGCGAGTCAGTGTCACAGACCCCCATCCGGCTAGGAGCTGGAACCCTGGGCAAGACATTGCGCATGTATATGGAGGCGATGGCGGCGGGCGCCATCCTCAGCGAGCACAAGGGGCGGGTCATGTCGCTGGACTTCAACGGGTCTGGAGAGCTCATGCTGAGCACGGGCGAGGACGACCGGCTCTGCGTTTACTCGTGCCAGAGCGGCCAGCTGCAGCGCGCGGTGCAGAGCCCCCGATACGGCGTGGGCATCGCCCGCTTCACGCACGACCCGCTCTCCGTCATCTGTGCCTCGCGCGCCGGCGAGGCGGGTGCGGCCGGCGGCGCGGCGGGTGCGGCCGGCGGCGCGACGGGAGGCGGCGAGGGCGCGCACGCGATTCGGTACCACTCGCTGCACGACAACACCTACCTGCGCTTCTTCACCGGCCACACGGCGCCGGTGCTCTCGCTGAGCGTCTCTCCAAAGGACGACGTCTTTGCTTCGGCGGCGGCGGACGAGACGATGCGGACATGGGACCTGCGCGTGCCCGGCTGCCTGGGCGTCCTCCGCTTCCCCGGCAGCGGGCGCCGGCCAGCGGTCTCCTTTGACCCCGAGGGGCTTGTGCTCGCCGCGGGCGTGGGCGGCAACCAGGTCAAGCTCTTCGACCTGCGGTTTGCCTCTAAGGGGCCGTTTGCAACCTTTTCGGTGCCGGGCGAGCCTCGCGACTTTGCGTCCATCTGCTTCAACTTTGACGGCAAGCTGATGCTGGTCGGCACCGCGCAGGGCGCCGCCGTCAGCATCGACGCCTTCAAGGGCACCGAGCTCCAGACCTTTCGCGGGCACGCCAACAAGATGGGGCTGCCGCTCGAGGCGTGCTTCAGCGCGGACGGCGCGCAGGTGATGAGCGGGTCGGAGGACGGCAAGATCTGGCGCTGGCGCACGCACGACGCCTCGCTGGTTGCGGCGCAGGCGGGCCACCGCGGCCCCGTCACCTCCGTCAAGTGCAACCCGACGCGGCAGCTCGTGGCGAGCGCCGGCGAGGAGGTCTGCCTGTGGCTGCCTGCTTAGCGGCAGTGCGGCTGCCCCGCTGCCGGACCGTACTGAGTTTTTTGCCATTTAGGGCCATATACAGTGTAGTCCGGGTGGAGCGGGGTGGCAGGGGCGAACAGAAGCCCGCCGCAGACGCCAGACCTGTTCCAGGCGACAGGCGTGTTCCGTGTAGCTGTAGGTATAGCACAAGACTCAAGAGCGTGGCCCCGCCGCCGACGTTGACCTTACCTAACTTAGCAAGCGTGAACAGCGTCACGAGTTTGAAGAGTGTTCCTTTGAACGATACTATCTCGGTGTCGAAACGCCTCTCGACAGCCCCAAACAGCTCTTCACAGCGGCGCCGCTTGTTGGGCTCGGACCTGTTGCTCGGCCGCTGGCAACTCGCGGCGCCGCGCGTGGGCAGAGGGTCGGGCCGCGCGCCCCCCCCCGTGGTGCAGCGGGCGCCATGTTCATGCACAGCGAGGCCGACATCAAGAAGGTGAAGCGCGTGCAGTTTGGCATCCTCGGCCCAGACGAAATCAAGGCGATGTCTGTGATGCAGCCTGACGGAGTGACCTCGGACCGCACGTTCGACAACGGCAAGCCGGTGCAGGGCGGGCTGATGGACCCGCGCCTCGGCTCCATCGACCGCTACATCAACTGCGCCACCTGCGGCATGGACCACAACGAGTGCCCCGGCCACTTTGGCCACATCGAGCTCGCAAAGCCGATGTACCATGTCTCCTTCCTCGAAAACACGATGAAGGCCGCGCGCCGCCCCTCCCGCCGCCCACCGCCCCCGCGCCGCGAGGAGTGACCGGCACCGGACGCCGCGCCGCAGACGCTCCGCTGCGTCTGCTTCTCCTGCTCTGTGATCCTCGGCGACGAGCCGCCCGACCCCGCGACGGGCCAGCTCTCGGGTGACGCGCTCCGCATCTCGCGCGCCACGCGCGTCAAGAAGCCCGAGCGGCGGCTCCGCGCCGTGATGGACATTGCAAAGTCCAAGTCTGTCTGCTGGTCCTGCTCTACGCCCCAGCCGACCTTCAAGAAGGACGGGCTGATGATCCGCGCAGAGTTCAAGGAGGTACCGCCGCCGCCGCCCACCGCCCACCGCCCACCGCCCACCGCTCACCGCTCGATCCGGGAGGGGCCGCCCGCTGTCCTCCCTCGCTCACCACCGCTCCGTCACACCTCACATCACGCAACTGCCCATCACCGCCGCAGGCGACGGATGACCACGAGAAGAAGCTGGAGCTGACGGCGGAGCGGGCGCACAAGATCCTCAAGGGCATCTCTGACGTCGACGCGCGCCGCCTCGGCTTCGACCCCGAGAACGCGCGCCCCGACTGGATGGTGATCACGGTGCTGCCCGTCCCTCCGCCGCAAGTGCGCCCCTCCATCCAGATGGAGGGGGCGGGCGGGCGGGGCGAGGACGACCTGACCGTCAAGCTGATGGACATCGTGCGCTGCCCGCACACCCCGTCGCCCGCGCGCGCGCCTCCTCCCGCACACACGCCGCGACCGCGCTCTGCGGCGCCGCACCCGCCGCCGCTCCCGCCGCCGCCGGCAGCACCAGCAGCGCACCCGCCCTGAACGCGGCGCGGCGCGGGCCTGCAGGTGCGGACGAACCGGTCGCTAAAGGAGCAGGAGCGGAACGGCGCGCCGAACCACATCGTGCTGCAGCACGTCTCCCTCCTGCAGTACCACCTCGCCACCCTGGTCACAAACACGCTCCCCGGCGTGCAGCCCGCAACCACCCGCTCGGGCCGCCCGCTCAAGTCCATCTCGCAGCGGCTCAAGGGCAAGGAGGGGCGCGTGCGCGGCAACCTGATGGGGAAGCGCGTCGACTTCTCCGCGCGCACGGTCATCACCGGCGACCCGAACCTCGCCATCGACGAGGTTGGCGTCCCGCGCACCATTGCCCGCAACCTGACGTACCCCGAGGTCGTCACGCCCTTCAACATCGACCGGCTGCAAGAGCTGGTCGACAACGGGCCGCTCGAGCTGCCAGGCGCGAGACCCGCCGCCCGCGCGCGAGACCTGCCGCCCGCGCGCGCCAGAGGGGGGCGGAGGGGAGACGGGGAGAGAGCGCTCCTTTGCTCGCTCTTGCCACGAGTAGAGCAGAGCTGCCCCCCCCCCCCCCCCTCTGCCGCCTCACCCGCGCCGCCCCCGCCTCATCGCGCCGCACTCGTCGTGCCGCAGGGGCTCGGTACATCATCCGCTCCGACGGGATGCGGCTCGACCTGCGCATGCCGAGCGTGCAGAAGCACCTCCAGTACGGCTACAAGGCGCGCACGGACGGGAGCGCTGCCGCCGCCCCATCGCGCCGCCTCACGCCGCAGCGGGCGGGTGTGCAACTGCAGGTGGAGCGGATGGTCGAGGACGGGGACATCGTCATGTTCAACCGGCAGCCGTCGCTGCACAAGATGTCCATCATGTCGCACCGGGTCAAGATCATGCCCTACTCCACCTTCCGCCTCAACCTCTCCGTGACGACGCCGTACAACGCCGACTTCGACGGCGACGAGATGAACCTGCACGTGATGCAGTCCATGGAGACGCGCGCGGAGGCGTCCGAGATCATGTCGGTCGCGCGCTGCGTCGTCTCGCCCCAGTCCAACAAGCCCGTGATGGGCATCGTGCAGGACACCCTGCTCGGCTCGCGCGGCTTCACCAAGCGCGACACCTTCCTCCGCAAGGACATGATGATGAACCTGGTGATGCACCTCGACACCTTCACCGGCAAGCTTCCCGTGCCCGCCATCCTCAAGCCCGAGCCGCTCTGGACGGGCAAGCAGGCGCAGTCCCTCATCCTGCCCGACTTCTCGATGGCGCGCTTCGCCAACGGCCGCCCCGACGCTGAAGAGAGGGTACGCGGCCCCCGCCGGACCGCCGCGCCCCGAGCCGCCCCTCCTCCGTGCCGTGTAGGCCACCCCGACGACGAGACCGACGAGCTCTCGCCGGGCGACACGCGCGTCGTCATCGACCGCGGGGAGCTGCTCTGCGGCATGCTCGACAAAAAGTCGCTCGGCACCGGCGCGGGCGGCGTGATCCACACCATCGCGAACGAGTTTGGGCCGCAGGGCGTGCGCGCCTTCATCGGCGCGCACCAGCGGCTCGTCAACTACTGGATCCTGCACCGCTCCTACTCGATCGGCATCGGCGACACGATCGCCGACGCAAAGACGATGGACGACATCGTCGCCACCATCGACGACTCCAAGCGGGAGGTGAAGAAGCTCGTCGAGAAGGCGCAGAACAACAAGCTCGAGTGCCAGCCCGGCCGCACCATCCTCGAGTCGTTTGAGAACAACGTCAACCAGGTGCTCAACAAGGCGCGCGACAAGGCGGGCACCTCGGCGCAAAAGTCGCTCAAGGAGACCAACAACGTCAAGAACATGGTCACCACCGGCTCGAAGGGGTCCTTCATCAACATCTCGCAGATGATCGCCTGCGTCGGCCAGCAGAACGTCGAGGGCAAGCGCATCCCGTACGGCTTCCTCAACCGGACGCTGCCGCACTTCACCAAGGACGACTATGGGCCCGAGTCTCGCGGCTTCGTCGAGAACTCGTACCTGCGCGGCCTCACCCCGCAGGAGTTCTTCTTCCACGCGATGGGCGGCCGCGAGGGCCTGATTGACACCGCCGTCAAGACCGCCGAGACGGGCTACATCCAGCGGCGGCTCGTCAAGGCGATGGAGGGCGTGACGGTCAAGTACGACGGCACGGTGCGCAACTCGCAGGGCGAGGTGCTCCAGTTCCTGTACGGCGAGGACGGGATGGACGCGGTGCGGCTGGAGAACCAGAAGATCGCGCACGTCGGCATGCACATCGACAAGCTGCGCAAGATGTTCGAGCACAAGTTTGACGACCCAAACTACGGCCGCGTCCACGAGTCGCCCGTCGGCCAGCCGTGGATGCGGCCCGGCCTCGCCGAGGAGCTCAAGCGCGACCCGCTGGCCAAGGAGGAGCTGCGGCAGGAGTTCGAGCAGCTGCTCGAGGACCGCCGCCTCCTCACCGACCCGCGGCTCGGCCCCTTCGCCAAGGGCAAGGCGGACCCGCCCTCGCCCGTCAACATGAACCGGCTGCTGCGCAAGGCGCAGGGGCTCTACCCGGTGGACGCGTCCAAGCCGTCCGACCTCAAGCCGATCGACATCGTCAAGAAGGTGCGCTCGCTCCTCGACAAGCTCGTCGTCGTCAAGGGCACCGACGCCCTCTCCGTCGAGGCGCAGTACAACGCGACGTACAACTTCTTCTCGCTGCTGCGCTCGCAGCTCGCCTCCAAGCGCGTGGCGGGCCGAGCCCCCCGCCCCCCGCGCCGGCGGCACGCCCGCGACACGCCGGCGGCCGTCGCCCCCGTAGGCGCGTGCTGGTCGAGCACCGCCTCACGCCGCAGGCCTTCGACTGGCTGCTCGGCGAGGTGGAGTCGCGCTTCCTGCAGCACCGATGCCAGCCGGGCGAGATGGTGGGCGCTCTGGCCGCGCAGTCGATCGGCGAGCCCGCCACGCAGATGACGCTCAACACCTTCCACTACGCCGGCGTGTCGGCCAAGAACGTCACGCTCGGCGTGCCGCGCCTCAAGGAGATCATCAACGTCTCCAAGCGGCCAAAGACGCCGTCGCTCACCGTGTTTCTGCGCGAGGAGTTTGCGCGCGACTCGGAGGCGGCCAAGGAGGTGCAGTCGATCCTCGAGCACACGACGCTCGGCTCGGTGACGAGGCAGACCGAGATCTGGTACGACCCGCTGCGGCCGCTCGAGGCGGAGCGCGCGACGGTGGTGGAGGAGGACGAGGACTTCGTGCGTCTGTACTACGACACCTCGTTCGAGGAGATCGACTTTTCAAAGATCTCGCCGTGGGTGCTGCGCATCGAGCTCGACATGGAGGCGATGGCGGACAAGAACCTGCTGATGGAGGACATCGTGAAGTGCATCTCCGCCGAGTACGGCAGCGACGAGCTGCACGTCATCCACTCGGAGGACAACGACGACCGGCTGGTGCTGCGCGTGCGGCTCGTCAACAGCGAGGCGGACAAGGAGGCGGAGGCGGAGGGGGACGAGGACGTCGAGCACACCTTCCTGCAGCGCATCGAGCAGAACATGCTCTCCGAGATGACGCTGCGCGGCATCGAGAAGATCAAGCGCGTCTTCATGCGCGAGCCGAAGCGCGAGCACGTCGACCCTGTGACGGGCGCGCTTGGCGCGGCGGCGGGGTGGATGCCTCTGGGAGCCCCTCCCGGAGCCTCCTCGCAACTCTCCCCATAGGCGCGCTCGGCATGGTGACCGAGTGGGTGCTCGACACGGAGGGGATCAACTTCTCGGCGGTCGCGTCGGCCGACCGGCGGATCGACCACACGCGGCTCATGTCGAACGACATTTGCGAGATCATCCGCAACCTCGGGGTCGAGGCGGTGCGGCAGGCGCTGCTCGGCGAGCTGCGCTCGGTGATCGAGTTTGACGGCTCGTACGTCAACTACCGCCACCTGGCCATCCTGTGCGACGTGATGACGTACCGCGGCCACCTGCTCTCGGTCACGCGCCACGGAATCAACCGCGTCGACAACGGCGCCCTCGCGCGCTGCTCTTTCGAGGAGACGGTCGACGTGCTGATGGAGGCGGCCTGCTTCTCCGAGGCGGACCTGATGCAGGGCGTCTCGGAGAACATCATGCTCGGCCAGCTCGCGCCGATCGGCACCGGCGAGTTTGAGCTCTTCCTCAACACCGACATGCTCGAGCTGGCGCAGCCCACCGACTTTGACCCTCTCTTCGACGGCGACGGCCTCGCCGGCATGTCTCCCGGCGCGGTCGGCGCGATGACGCCGGGCGGGATGACGCCTTACTCGCAGTCGCCCTTCATCGGCGGGATGACGCCCGCCTTCTCGCCCGGCCCCGGCGGCGCCGCCTTCTCGCCCGGCCCCGGCGGCGCCGCCTTCTCTCCCGGGCCGGGCGACGGCGGCTTCTCGCCCTTCCACGGCGGCGGCGGCGGCGGCGATGGCAACTACAGCCCGACGTCGCCGTCCTACTCGCCCACGTCGCCGAGCTACTCGCCGACAAGCCCGGCGTACTCCCCGACGAGCCCCGCCTACGCGGCCACCTCGCCGTCCTACTCGCCCACCTCGCCGGGCTACTCGCCGACGAGCCCGGCCTACTCCCCGTGCGCCTCTCGCCGCCGCGGAGGGGGGGAGGGGGGAGCCCGCTCGGTCTCACGCCCGAATGGGTTGCACTGCAGGACGTCTCCGGCGTACTCGCCGACCTCGCCCGCGTACAGCCCGTGCGCCATACCTCGGAGGAGAAGGGGCGCGACGGAGTCCCGCTCGTCGCACGCCCGACTCTTGGGCTAAATAGGACCTCGCCGAGCTACTCGCCGACCAGTCCGAGCTACTCGCCGACCAGTCCGAGCTACAGCCCGACGTCGCCGAGCTACAGCCCGTGCGCCTCTTCCGGCGCAAAGAGAGGCGGGCGGAGCCACACTTGTCTCACGCTGGAATGGCCGCTGCACTGTAGGACTTCGCCGAGCTACTCGCCGACCTCGCCTGCCTACAGCCCGTGCGCCTCGCTGCTGCGGAGGAGAAGCGCGCCTCCGAGACCCTCTCGCCTCACGAGTGGTTTGTTCGCAGGACCTCTCCGGCGTACTCGCCGACGTCACCCGCGTACAGCCCGTGCGTTTCCTCACTCGGCGAGACGGCACGATCCGAGTCCCACTCGTTCGCACGTTTGATGGGTTGCACTGTAGGACGTCGCCGGCGTACTCGCCGACCTCGCCCGCGTACAGCCCGTGCGCCTTCTCGCCGCGGGAAGACGCGACGGAGTCCCACTCGTTCTCACGCCCGGATGGTTTGCACCCTATAGGACCTCGCCGGCCTACAGCCCGACGTCACCGGCGTACAGCCCGACGTCGCCGGCGTACAGCCCGACCTCGCCGGCGTACAGCCCGACGTCGCCGGCGTACTCGCCGACGTCGCCGGCGTACTCGCCGACGTCGCCGGCCTACAGCCCGACGTCGCCGGCGTACAGTCCTGGCGACTGACCTGAGCGGTCGGTGTACTCCACTTGCATGCAGCATGGAGATCTTAAGCGAGTTGCCTTTGTGCCCGCACAGCAGACTTTGAGCGCGTCGCCCGCGCCCGTTTCCCACTCTCTCTCTTTGCCCACTTGTACGCAGCCGAGGCAGCGCGACTGCCATGTCTTACAGTTTGCTCTTTCAGGGGTTGTGTGTTTACGTCGTGTTTCTTACAGAAGTCAGAACTCAGAAGCGTCCGAAAAAACGAAAAGGCGAGCGAGACCCCACCACCCAGTCGTCCGCTAAGGGGACCCCTAGGCTTAAAAGGGGGTGCCCTGGGGCGCCTGCGGCTTAAACGGCTTAAAACTTGCCCTGGCAAGTTTTAAGAGCTGCTGGGCCGCCAATTCCTTAAACGGTCTTAAACGCTTAAACGGTGCGGGAGAGCTCCCGAGGTCGATGGTCCGGGGGAGGCTCCCGGTAGACACGCCGGAGGCCGGGAAGCTGGCTACAGTCAGCTAGCACGCGTCCCCTATGCGAGTTGGCTGATGGCTCCTGCCAGTGCACCAGACTTACAGATGTGTCTTCAGAGGCGGGTTTGTGCCTAATAACGGCAGTATTGGAGAAAACGGCGCGGAACCCCAGCGACGCGTGCCGGTGAGGCCGATTTTCTTAAACGGTCTTAAAAGAGGGACCCCCCGTGCCTGCAATCTCTTAAATGGCAAGTTAAGCCCCCAAACCTCCTCGTTTCTTAAAAGGTCTTAAAAAAATCCGGCCCTCAGAACCCTAGGGGTCCCCTAAGGTCGTCCGGGCGCGCGCGGCGCACACTTCGTTCACAGCTTCGTTTTCAGTGTTTCACTGCACTGCACACTCCCGGGGACACTGGTCAGTCTGAGATATCAGTTATCACTGTGACACATCTGACCCCCTCTTTCAGTTCTTTCAGCCACCCGTGACCGTATCGAGTGACCGTACACACGACGATGAACCGCCCCTGCCCCTCAGCCCCGCGGCGTGCTCGCCCGCTTGATGTTGTTCCGCGAGCGCATCTGCTTGTTGCCCGCGCCAGCGCCGCGCAGCGCGTTGGCGCCGAGGTAGGGCGACGCGGGCGTGAGCGGCGTCGGCTGCAGCAGCGCCACCGGCAGCTCGAGCGAGCCGCGTAGCAACACCGCCGCCCGGGCCAGCGCGGCGGGCGGCACGGGCGTGACGAGGAGCAAGCTTTCGCTCGCGGGGTCGACGGCGCGCACGATGCCGAGCCCGAGGCACTCATCCGCCTCCCCCTCGCCGCCCCGCGCCGCGAGCCCGACGACCGCTGCGTTGAGCGAGCGCAGCAGCTCGCCCTCGGGCAGCGGCGGCTGGTGCAGCAGCCGCACCTCGAGCTCGCTCAGCCTCGCCGCCAGCGGGGGCTCGCGGAGCAGGCGCGAGATGGCCGCTTGCCAGGGCGCGGAGGCGTACCCGCGGCTGCTGGGTGGGAGGCCCCGCACACCGCGCGGCAGCGCGCCAAAGTAGGCGAGCAGCGCCTAGTCGATGGGTTAATTAATTCATTCATCCATTCAAAGTAGGCGAGCAGCGCCTAGTCGATGGGCCGTCGTCAGCTGCTTAACAGTCGAGTGATTAAAGAGTATGCGGGTGGGGCGGCACGCACTAAGGGGGGGGGGGGGGGGGGGGGGGGGGTCCCAACCCCGGCCCCCCCCCGGAAAAAGCCCCCCCCCCCGGGAAAGGGGATCCCCCGGGGGAACCCGGGGGGGGTAAAGGGCCCCCCCCCCCTTAAAAGGGGGAGCCCCCCTTTTCCCCGGGGGAAAAACCCCAAGGGGGGGGGCCCCCCCCCCCCCCCCCCGGGGGGGGAGGGCCAATCGGTGGGGTGGGGGCCAGGCCCCCAAAACCCCGGGGGGGGGGCCCCCCGGCGGGGGGGGGC